TTGTTATACTGATACTAGCAAATTTTTATTCGTCATGAAATAAGTATATATTCTCCAATGTTATACACAATTATTATTTTACTTTACGCATGGTACCTTATACATGTTTTACATTACTCATGTTTATATACAACAAAATTAAAATAATTGATAATATTAATTTTCAGAGTAAGTAAGTCAGTTTCCATTTTAGCTTTACAAAAACGAAAATTTGCCATCTATTAATTTTCAGGTTAATCAATTCTATCAAGGATTTTATTTTAATCTAAATACTAAATGATGCAATGTTGCACTGTGCAGTTAAATTATCTATAATTTCCAGAAAGCTAACGAAGTACCACCAGTCAGAGGCCTAGCCTAGCTTAAATTATACTATTAAAAATAAAAATAGGAGGAGTCCTGTACTATGCAAATATATCCCATTGTGCTTTACAAGTCAATTGTGCAAGTAAGAAAATTTTAAAGATAAAAAAAATTAAAAAATTAAATATAATTGTTTTATATTGAATTGTTTTAATGATAATACATAAAATAAATAAAAAAGTTTTAATGTTTTATAATTAAAAATTGAATAAATAATAAGAATAATAACAATAATAACAATAAGAATAATAATAATAATAATTATTATTATTATTATTATTGTTAGTGTTAGTGTTATTGTTGTTATTATTGTTATTATTGTTAATATTATTATTATTAATAATAATAATAAACAGAAGAGTGGAGAATGCTGCTATTTTACTTTACATAGGTCAGTTTCTTTTATGATTAACTAGGCCTAGGCATATGTTGTACAAAAAATGTCACAATAATAATTTAACTTTGATTTATATTTTAGATTACATTTTGCAATTTACAAAGAATAAGCCTAGGCTATTTGTATCGGTTTGTACACCAGCATATTTTATTTCATAAATTAAAATATATACTAGTAATAATAATATAATGCATAGGTCTGATACAAGAACTTTCATGTTATTAATATTATTTATCATACATTTACAGTCGAGCAAAATATTATCGCCAACGATTCACATTGCAACCTACCTAGCCTGGGTTCCAGGCCCTAATTTTAGGTTACTCACTCTTTATTGCACTTAGTGCGCGCCATACCTAATTTAATTGGCGTCCCATACTCGATTTCTTCTTTTTCGAATTAGGCTTATTCCGTCTATAAATTAACTTTTTCGTTGGTGGCGCTGTCCAGAATGAGAAAAATAATAAAAATAAGAGACTTGTGGCAAGTCTACAACCTACCCTGTCTGCTGGGCTGTCTGCACGGGAATTCGTCTGCACAACATAACTATTGTCCTTTGTTGATACCAAATAGGCCTACATAGAGTACAACAGTCGTGTCGTCACAACACCGGGTGGCGCCCTTTGTTGTCAGCCAGACGTTAGTTCACAAGAACAGAGCCGTTCTATACACCTGTACTTGTTTCTCCTCGCGCAAATCCAGTTATTGTCTATATGCCATTACGACAATAACAATTACTATCAGACGTCAGTTACCGTTCATTACGAGTAGTGCCAAAGTGCGAGCCAGCGAGTCATGCGAGCCAATGTGCGAGTCATGCGAGCTAGCGAGCCATGCGAGCCATACATTTAATTTTTTTTTTTTTTTCAGGTTATCCAATTTTGCAAACACGTAGGCCTAGCCTATATTCTTTGGCCTAGTAGATGCAAATGAATAACACACCGGGGAGCTTTGCTTGTGTAGTCCAGTCATATATATTTAAATATAACAATTATATAAAAAATATATGAACATATTAATATATATAAATATACAAATAAATATATAAATATATATATATATATATAAATATACAAACATATTAATATATATAAATATATATATAAATAAATATACAAATAAATATACATATATATATATATATATATATACATATATATACACATATATATATACACACATATATATATACATACACACATATTTATACATACATATTTATAGTCAAAGACACATCATTTACATACTGAACAAGATCGTGACTCCGAAAATGTGAGCATTGTGATTGGTTGAAATCGTTTATTTCGGTCCGCCCATTTTATTCAAATACGGAATATAAAATTACGTCATTCTTATGGGAACCTGCATGCAGTGTTTTACAAGTCGCTATTTCATCTCTAAATTACCCTCATCGTTGGTGGCGCTGTCCAAAATGAGAATAAAATAATAATAATAAGACTGTGGTTGGGGCTGATGTGTGAAAATTTAAGGAAATAGTACCTCAAGCTGGCCGGAAATGACACTGTTACAGTATATTATAGTAAAAGTCATCATCATCACATATCTACTATCAGCGATTTTCAGCTATCATAGAAGTCTAATTAATCTCTGTATTGTTACCATAGAAAATAAACTTAATGGTCTTTGATGTATTTACTTTACTTTACCTACTTCGTGTGCCAAAAAATCTTGTACTTTTTCTCAAACTTCTCAAATTATAACAAAAGCACGCACACTCGAGCCGTGTATTATAGGTAAATCAGATGTTAGTGATATCGGTATCTTGCTATAATATGTAATGTACAAATATAAGATGTATATTACTGTACAGCGCTCTTTCGTTAAAACCTGGGTCATTTATGCAGTTCATTTCAACAATTATTCAGGCATCATCTTTACTTAAGAAATTTACATTGAGGTTGAAAAATGGGGGGACCAGCCTCCTTAAAAATATGTAGGGGAGGGGGAAAGAAGAGTGTTCCCCTGTGGCCCCCCAAAATTTCTGTGTCCATGACATTCACACTTGTGTAACGCCAATGGTCCATGTTACAGTGTTAGATTTCCATTCTCTTCTTTGAAGAATTGCGTACCTTTCGATTGGCTCAATAACGCGAACAGCAACTTAGACTTATTAGAATTCACAAGCTTTTCTCGAAGTACCAACTTTTCAAGCTGCCAAGTACTTGCAAAGTTTGAAAATCCCAAGAGTGGCCAATGCTGATTACTACCTCAATTGCTGTTGTTGGCCAACACCTGTCTCTTATACACATCTAGATGTGTATAAGAGACAGATACAGTACCGTATCTCGTGAGATATTTATCCACAACTGGAAGACAAATGAAGGTTAAGGATGAAAGATCATTCTGCAAAGTATTTATGTTACTTTAACTTTGATGGGGCATATTTCTTTTCTTAATTTACAACTGGCGGATCATAAGGTTTATGATGAAATAACCAGATTATTTATAAATAGTTTTTGGTTTAGTGAATTTCCAATAACGCCTCACACTCTCTTTTTCGTCTGACGATATACTGTACAAAATGACTCACTGACTACTGCAGAAACCGTAAATAGGCCTATGACTATGACGTCATTCAACTATACAAAGATGTGTATAAGAGACAGCACACACTGCACCGCTTAAGTTTAACATATGGATAACTTAGCTGTGTTTGAAAATTTCATATTAAAATGAGGGTGCCATTGAAAGCAATGGTTAGTCATATTTTGATTGGCTGAATATAATGCAGTCATCTTAAGTACCAATATACCAATAACTTTTAAATAAAAAATCCATTTGTTGATGCTCTTAGTAAATAAATAAATATATAAATATATATATAAATATTTAATAAATATATACATAGGCCTATATATATAAATGAATATACAAATAAATATATATATAAATATACAAATAAATATAAAAATATATAAATATATACAGCATATATAAAATAATATATATAAATAGATATATAAATAAATACAGTACATATATATAAATATATCTGTATGTATGTATCTGTATCTGTATTTTAACAACATCTCTATCAGCGTTGCATACTTCCGGATCGACGATTCGAAAAAGTGTATGTACTGCGCATGACTGGACTACACAGGCAAAGCTTCCCGGTGGGGGAAAAAAAAGGATTTAATTGTATATCTCGCATGGCTCGCTGGCTCGCGCATTGGCTCGCATGACTCGCTGGCTCGCACTTTGTCACGACCCGTTCATTACGCCTGAATGACTTCATAATCGATCTTAATGGTTTAGAATAGACTTTCTCGAATAGGCATTTTAAAACCTAATAATTTACCATCAAAATGTACACAAAAGCTCGCATTTATTGTTATCGAACACACATTTTAATCATCAATAAAAATTTACAAAGAAAAACTAAGATACAACATCTTAATAATTACGTTAGAAATCGGGATCAATGGTTTGCCAGTGGAGAAAATGGCGTTCGGTTGAACTGCCGCCCGAAGCAACAGTGTAGTATCACGTGGTATCGTGACGTGACACAGTAGTACTATATAGGGCTTAGATAGAGAGACAGAGCCTGCCCTAGAAAGGCTAGACTAAGCCTCTACTGCTAGGCTAGAGAGAGACATGTTGTGCATAGGGATCGGTAGATAAACTTTCAAAACAAAAAGATAATCATAACGAAAAATAGAGAATCGTCCTCACTAAGAGGACCAAAGTTAGGTAAATATGAATATATATTATATTTGCAATGATATATCAAAATAACATCGTTTATTAGTCCTCATGAACAGAGTAATGAAAGTTTATGCAGCATCAGTGTTACAAAGATTTACGCGCGCACGCTGTGTGGTGACAACATGGCCAAACTCTATCTACGGCTCTGTTCTAGTGAAAAGCAGACTGAAAACATTTCTTTAATATCACAGTATTGGTAAACAGAATTGGTGTGTATGTTTTACAATATATCAGATTTCAACCAACCATCATGCCCAATCAACAATATGTATCGTAGTATACTAAAACCTTGGTCGGAAGGATCAAAGTTTGAGGTGCTCGATAATAATTAAGAGTAAATGTATTGGAAAAAATAATGCCATCGGGCCTAGACCCGTTAATAATGCAATATGGCGTTTCATTCAATGGTCAATCCAATCTTTGCTTATAAATGATAAAGATGTTATGTGCATATGTGGACTACAAAAGCAAATAAAAAAGTAACTTCAATGTTGTATTCATATACCAATCCGTGTACTAATAGTGCGTGGTTTGTGTTGAGCTTTGGATATTTGCGGTTAGTTTGCAAAAGTTTGAACAAAAGTTATGTATCACAACGCTAGGAATGTTTTTTTCTTAAAGCATTAAACCACTAAACTCGCTTAGTTCTTTTTAGGAGAGTTGAGAAATCAAATATTGCAAATACGGAAATAATGGGATGGTGACTGGCAGGGGTTTTAACCTACATAATTGTACCATTGCATCTGCAAGAAGTTAAATCAAACATATCTGGATGGTATCTGATGGTAGAGAATTTTCACCATGTTATTCAGTTCCCTTTTTAATATATAAATTCCACCCGAAACCTAGACTATGTAATACAGGGATGATTTCTTTATTATTTATTATTGTTATATTATTCAAAGCTGACCTTTGAAATAATATTTCTATATAAATGTTCTGTTTAAGTAGACATTACAATACTTAATGTGTGGGCCCTATAGGAGGACGGTACTTTGTACTGAATAGGCTCCCCAGCGTAAAGAACAATACAACAAAACATAATGTAATATTTGAACATAAATGTATAATATGGGACATACTATATAATGAGTTAATCTTGAATTCTCAATGAACAGACACTAACCAAGATGCAAGATTCCAGATACAAGAAAACTTCATTGTCATATGATTCATACAACGAAAAAGATGAAAATGATGATGGAAGTGGAAAGTCCACCGATGGGTTTATGAAGAAATATTCAAATATAATCAAAAGACGAGTAAACTATACCCAGGAAATGTGTCGCAAACATAAAAGCGTCATTCCAAGGATGAAAAGACGGCCAAATCTACTTGTGAATGAGGAACACAAGCTTGTTTACTGCCAAACACCTAAAGTTGCAACAGTTAGCTGGTGCAAAATTTTCTTGACTTTTTCTGGATTTAAAAACTATTCGGAGGTTGTAAAGATGAGCGTTGATGAGGTGGCAGCGGCGTGGAAAAAGCACGTTCCGCACCTTTCTCATTTTCCTGCCGAAAAACAAAAGAAAATAATGTCCACCTACACCAAGATAATGTTTGTAAGGAACCCGTTAACACGACTGCTGTCAGCCTACAATGATTTATTAGTTGCAAAGAATACTTCAACTGGCAAGCAACTAAGGTTCCAGCACAGGACAAGCAAAGACGTTTTAACTAATTTCAGACCAGGAAATACCTCCAAAAGTTATGATACAACATTTAGGGATTTCGTTAAAATGATAGTTTCCAAAACACACTATATAAGGAACATCCATTGGAATAATATGCATTCAGTATGTTATCCGTGTGACATTGATTATGACGTCATCGGTCGATTGGAGGATATTGAGAATGATTCAAACTATATACTTAAACATGTCGGAGCTGGTTTTAAATTTCCTAAACAGACTGGGATTCATTTTACAAACAGCTCAAGCTATGACAAGGTTCGCAGAAGCTATGCTACAATTTCAGACTCAGATCTTCAGGATTTATATCAAAAATATAAATATGACTATATATTGTTTGATTATGATAAAGGTCTGCCAAGGCTCTAGGACTCGGTATATTATATAATATATTGTAATATGATCATATTATTAGCATATAATATATCATATCATATATCATCACATATTATACAGAACTGGGCTAGACTGGGTTAAACTTTTTCTTTCATTTCATATTATGACAAACACAAAAAGAAGTAGTGATAGAACATTAAAGTTTGAATCATGTTCGTTCAATTACAAATGAATATTAACTAATGAAAGTGATATTCTTTCTGATCATAAAAAATAAATATACATTATAATAGATTTTCACCAATATAAAACACTGAACAGCAACCATATAACGTCACCATTTGTTGCACATACTCAATTATAATTACAAAAAGTTGTCTACTTTAGAATATTATTTTCCAATTAATTACTAATTATATAATTGATTTTACTATATATTTGATTTCAATTTTATATAATATTTCTAGCTAAATGTGAAGAATTAACCTTTAAAAACTCCAGATAAAAAATGGTACCGTCCTTGAAATGTGTGACCTTAGTGCAAACATATAATTAATGCACTACCATTAAAAAATTAAAGGTAATTGCCCACATTTAGATACAATTATAATAAATTCTGTGTTACCGACATTAAACGTTTCAAGTAAGCCTATAAGAATTTTAGAATTTTCCAGTTCATATTGGTTTTTATTTGTTCAACTTTATTCTGTAATGTATGTATGTGTTCTGTGTCTGTGATTAATTTTGTTTTTAATTTCATTATCCATTTTTACTATCACAATCTGTCATTTTTTAGATTTGGTTCTTGCAATATTTATAATTAGGTATATATTAATTGTAGTGGTAGTTGATTTGAACAATAAATGCATATATTTAACAATGTTCAACATAAATATAATAATAACTTTATTTAATAAAGCGCAAAACAATATCCATTAAAAATGTTCACCGGCGCTGTACAGAATTTTAAAATATACATAGGCCTAGGCCTACATACAATTTAAACATACATACATAAGAAATACACATTAAAATCAAATAGAATTGATTGAAACCAATAATCATCAGAAAATCACAATACCATTTAACACATCAAAAATCTAAATTGAAATAAAAGAAAACGCGACATGAAAGAGAACGATAAAACACTAAAATATTTTTGGATTTTGTAAAAGGAAAAGACAAGACAAGTCCACCAAACCGTCACAAAATTTACATCAAAAAGTTAAAAAATAAATGTAATGCCGATAAAAAAAACTACAGGACATCATGTGTCTTGGAAATTTAAAATAAAGAGCTATTAAAATGCAATGCCGATTAGAAAAAATGTTCAATAGAAAACTCAAGGTTTTGTATAATACCCTAGCAAACATAAAACGTTACTAAAACGTTCGCAAAACGTTGGGAAGGTTGTGGTACGCTTATAGTAGCAAAAAATAACGTGAACAACATTGCAACAATGTTTGCAACGTTATTTAGTCAGAAATGACATTATAAATATGTTTTTATGGTTCTACAAAAACCCGTTTTGAATTTTATTATAACGTAAATTTTATTATAACGTAAACTTGTTAGCTAGGAATGGACATATTGAAGATACAGTTTCTGTTTAATTCCAGTAACGTATGTGGCATATAAGCATCGGAAATCCTTGTAAGTTGTAAAATACTTGTAAATACCCATAGACAAATACAGGCTTATCAACCTTCGGAATTTTTATAAAATAATTCCATTTTGGGAAGCGAGAACACAATTGTCAATAAAGAATTTCTACCTGATAATAGCGGACTTTCTACAAAGATTTATTGTGCTAGGCGGCACAAACAACCAATAAGTGTCCTTATGCTAAGGGTTTTTTTCCTTTTCCTATTTTGTCGTTCTCATTAAAATATTAGTACAGTAGTATTGTTATTATATATCTTATTATTGTTATACTGATACTGTCAATTCTTTATTCGTCATAAAATAAATTGAAAGTTTTTTTTCTTTCAATACATCATACTGTACAATGTTATTGTTATGTGGTATACCAACATTGTGAAAAGGCATTTTCAGCAGTAAACCCATCAAATTTTATGTTTATTTTAAGTTCTTTATTTCATCTTTTATATATAATATATAACAATATTATATAATAACAATTTTTATATAATGAATTAATCTTGAATTTTTAATGAACACAGACACCACTCAAGATACAAGATAAAAGATTCAAGATAACTTATAATTCAAGTAGCGAAAAAGATGAAAATGATAATGAAAATAAAAAGACCATTGATGAGTTTATGAAGAAATATTCAAATATAAACAAAAAGCGAGTTAACCATACACAAGAAATGTGTCGCAAACATCGAACTGTTTTTTCAAAGAAAAGAGGACTCCCAAGACTTCTTGTGAATGAGAAACACAAGCTTGTTTACTGCCAAACACCTAAAGTTGCGACAGTTAGCTGGTGCAAAATTTTCTTGACTTTTTCTGGATTCAAGAAATATTCGGAGGCGGTAAAAATGAGCGTTGATGAGGTGGTTAAGGCGTGGAAAAAGCACGTACCTCGACTTTCTCATTTTTCAGTCAAAAAACAGAAATTAATAATGTCAACTTATACTAAGATTATGTTTGTAAGGAACCCGTTAACGCGAGTGCTGTCAGCCTACAATGATTTATTAGTTGCAAAGAATTCTTCAAGTCGCAGGCAACTAGGTTTCCAGCACAAGGCAAGCAAGACAATATTGAATTTTTTCAGACCAGGAAATACCACCGGAATGTATAATGTAACATTTGGTGAATTCGTTAAAATGATAATTTCCAAAAATCACTACATGAGAAACGTCCATTGGAATAATATGCATACAGCATGTAATCCGTGTCATATTCACTATGACGTCATCGGTCGATTGGAGGATATTGAAAATGATTCAAACTATGTACTTAGACATGTCGGAGCTGGTTTAGAATTTCCTAAACAAACTGGAATTCATTTTACAAACAGCTCAGGTTATGACAAGATTCGCAGAAGCTATGCCACAATTCCAGATTCAGATCTGGAGGGTTTATATCAAAAATATAAATATGACTATATATTGTTTGATTATGAGAAAGGTCTGCCTAAGCTTTAAGACCTAGTATATTATATTATATACCGTAATATAATAATATAATATAGCATATTATATATTATGATATAATATAATATATTATATAATAATAATATATTATATCATATATTATATTGAACTGACTGAAAGTCAGTTATATTACATAACATATGTAGAATAAAGTTTTTATATCGCATTTATATAATGAAAACAACGTTGGCAAAATATAATGTTTTCCTTTTTTCATTCATTTCATGTTATGATAAACACGAACACGGTAATGATTATACTTTAAAACTTCTTAAATAGGAAGTAATAATAGAACATAAAAGATTGAATTATGTTCGTTCAATTACAAATCTCTATTAAATATTCCAAAGTAGACAAAATAACTATTTTAAAATTTCTGTAGTAGCATAATATTAACTAATAGCCTATTATAACAACATAATGCTTTTTTTGTTTGAGCAACACGCTTTTACTCAAATATTGGTAACTTCCATTGAATTTTCACTTTTTGTATATACACAGTATGTGTCTTTGTGTAGATTAGAAAAGGGATGTATTTGGTCCCAGTTTAGTAGAGAAATTAAAATTGCAGCAAGAAAGAACATTTTTAAACTTTATGAAAACCTTCAAGATCATTAATCTAACAAAGTATTGAAAAGTTCAAGGTAAAACA